TAGTACTTGTTTATGGAGTCTTTCACCCATGTTAGGGGAGGACCTGCTTCCCCATCAGACCCAAATCTCATACCTGACACACCTGTTCTTGGTGAGGAGTTGATCCGGGGGTCCTGGAAGGGACGGCAGGAGTCAGCGGTGGCTCAGGGTCACCAAGCATTTTTCAAAATATTTTAAATCACTTTTTGTGCATTTTCAGACCTAAGTGGAATAGCTGATGTCCTACATTCTTCTGAAGCTCTTGTTTTTCTTTTCTTTGGATGAAGGAGAAGCTGGCAGGGGAGGCTGAGAAAGTGTGGGAACCCTGAGAGCCGTACCAGGCGTTTGTGGGGCCAGAGGCTGTGTGTGCCCGCCTGGGCTCGGCGCCCTGGAGGCTGGAGGCCTGGGAGGCCGCCCCTCGCGTGTCCTTTAGGCCTTCACGTTTCCCATGGATGATTTTAATAAGCTTTATCATTTATAGCTACCTTGAAAAGATAATCAGTTCCTTTTCAGTAGTTATTGATTTATATTGTTTTATCTGAGAGGAAAATACTGTTCTCATTTTTCTCTATTCACTTTCTTTTTTGGATAGCTAACTGTATTTTTCTGTTGAAGTGAAAATCAAGTTGTTAAAAATGTAATTATAAGGGGCCGGGGAGATGGCTCAGTAGGATAAGCGCTTGACTGGCAAACGCAAGGATCTGAGTTCAATCCCCGGTTCTGCAAAAAAAAAATAATAATAATAATTATGAGCACATGGTAAAAATATTTAGGTACCCTTATACATGCCGACACACATGCGAAGAAGGGTTCTAGGAAGAGACCCAGAATTCCAACCTGAGAAGAGGGAATGTGGGTCCAGCAGGACTCTCAGTTCTGTTTTTGTTGGTGTTTGGGTTTTGTGACTTGTTTGGTTTTGTTTGGGTTTTTTTGTTTCTTTGTTTGTTTTTGTGGTATGGGGGTTAAACTCAGGACCTTGAGCTTGCCACGCAAGGCTTATTTCTCCTCAGCTATCTCCCCAGCCCCTTGTTTGGGATTTTTGCACGTATTGTCTTTGAATTTCCCAGTAGCTTTCCTCCTGTCAGCCATCATGTTAGAGATGCTCCTAGCTGCATCTCACAACCTCTGTGTTTCTGCCACACAGGACACATCTTGGGACTGTGTCCTTAGCCACCTCTTGCCCCCTCTGGCAGAGGAGGCACCATTTTTCACTCTTTCGTGCTCTGTCCATTTCTCAGGTTGGGCGCCCGGGGCCTGGGAGCCCTGCCCTTCTCCTGTCTTCCCCACCCTACCCCTACCTCCTGGCAGCATAGCTGGGTTTCATTCTCCTGAGCTATCAAGCATCCCCCAGTTGTGCACAGTCTACTGTTCCTCAGAGTCATCAGACTGAGATGAAAGTGTCATTGCATGGCTGTGCTAAGGGTCCTGCGATTCTAGGACACCCACTGGTGCTGGGAGATCCAGTGGGTCAGCAAGCCCACCAGGGGTGTTCTGCGGTGCCTCTATTGAATTCCGATTGGGACCTGGGACTTGCTGGCAGCTGTAAGAGTCCTGCAGCCTCAGAAGTTTCTAGAAAGAGCAAAGAAATGTTCAAGGGTCATGAGAGCCAGGGGAGACAGGTGGGAGAGTGGCGGCTGCAGGGAGGTGTCCTCAACGCTGCAGGTGTTTTCCTTGCTGCCTGGTCCTCAGCCACCCTCACTTCTGCTTCTGGTTCTCCTGTAGGTCGTGGAAAGGAGAAGAACTCCAGCTGAGATCAGAGAAGAGTTTGAGCGGCTGCAGAGAGAGCGGGAGGAAAGGAGGCTGCAGCAGCGCACCAACCCCAAGGTAAGTGCACCCTGTGGACAGTGGCCTGAAATAAGCTGGGGCAGGCTTCTGATGTGACAGCGTACAAAATGGGGCGGTGTGGAGCTTCACTTTATCGCCAGAAGGTCCCTGAGTCGTGGGCTAAGACCTTCTCCGGCTGTGCTGCCTGCGGCCTCAGCACTGAAGATCAGTGAGGGACCCTACCTCCCAACTGAGCATCCCAGCCTCGCGACTTCTGATACTCGGGCCTTAGGGTAGGAGTAGTGGACCTTTTTTAGAGCGCTCAGTGATAACAAACAGCTTCTAGGGGCACTCCAGGCCGTAGGGTCACCTCTGCTGCTTCGGACTTTTCCAGTTCTCAGCAAGCCAGGCCCTGCTTTCTTCACCCCAGACATCTGTCCATGCCGTGACCACCAGTCACCAGGCCATCTCAACAGCCAGAAGGTGACCTAGTGCCCAGCAGAGCTGGAATGGTTTACCCAGTAGTGCCATAGAGGCAGTCTCTCTTGGAGTCCCATGTGCCAGGTCTTTTCCCCTCCACTGTTGCGTGTGGGCCCAGCCCTGTGGCAAGCTGGACACTGTCTATTGAGAGGCCTCTCATGGCAAGTGACTCACAGGGCCAGTCTGCTGTCCTCTGTTCAATGAGAGGACTCGAGTCCAGGCTATCTCAGGGTGGCCAGCACACAGCTGTGTCTGTCGAGATAAGGAGCAGGTGGCCTGCACGGCTTTTCCAGCACCTCTCCTCAAAGCCTTCCCAGCCTGTGTCAGCCCAGCGTTGTGGAAGGAGGGGTGAAGCCATACAGTCAGTAAGAAGCATCCTTGTTTTTCTTTTGGTGTTTTGAAAAGAACAGTGCCCACTTAATTAAGCTGGGACACACAGCAGGGTAAAATCTGATTAAATCCGTTAATGACCCCCGGCTGCATTTAAAGGGCAGTTTCAGAACTTCCGCATTGCAGTAGAATGCAGTGGTCCCTGGCCCCTGCAGGCTCAGGTTCAGAATTTTTGACAGATTCCAGATTCCACAGGTGCTCGCGGCTCTTATATGACTCCGAGAGATAGGAGTCTATAACCTGCATGTTCCTGTCCTGTTCTGGAGGTGCTCTGGATTCTAGTCTCCTATTACGATACAGAGTACTGTGAGCATAACAGTGTGAACGCTGTGTGTACAGTTGTTACGCTTTGTTTAGGGAAGGAGGAAACCTGTGCATGTTCAGGACAGGTGGTTTGTTTGCTTTTTACTATTTTCAGTCTGTGGTTGGGTGACTCCATGAATTGTGCTAACCATATTTGTAAAGGCCAACATTGCCGACCTGTGGCTCACACACCCAGGAGGTGATAGTAGCTCCAGTTGTGCTGAATTCTCCTTTGGCCAGATGGAGGTAGAGACTGAACCCTCTACTGTACCAAGTTAGGGAGCCCAGAGTTCCTGGAGAGGTGGAAACGGCTGCGGCCCCAGCCTCGCATGTCCACTGCTGGGAGTCCCTGTAGGCACTCTGCTTAGGAAGGACAGGCTGGCAGGTGCACTGAGGATGGGGACGGGACAGGCCAGGCAGCGGGAGGCGGTTGCTCTTCTGGCTAGAATCCTGCTCATCCTGACTGTGGCAGTTTGGGTGTGGCCGCCATTTATGGGCCCCTGTGTTTCTGTGCAGTGAGGGGACACAGCTGGGGCATTTCAAATGGGCACACAAACATTTTAATCTAACACCTTGCCACTTCCTTAAACTGCTTCCAAATAAAACATTTTGGCAGCATTTTGAAAAAGGAGATTTGAACTGAATTTTGTCTTCCATTTCTGAGCAGTTTTTGTGCTTTGTAAGGTGAACAGAAAGTTTGGGATACTTCCCCCTAAGAAAGGGTCCTCTCCTCTTTGAACAAGCCCTTGGGAGGGGCACACCTGGACCCCCAACACCCCAGCTTGTTGGGGATGGTAGGCTGGGTGGCCCTGTGACGCTGCCACCTGCCCCTGCAGAGCCTGCTCTCCGTGTTCCTGGCGAGCCAGGAGCAGGGGTTTTGCATAGAATGTGTAGACCCATGGGAGGAAAAGCTGGGGGAACCCGGCTGACACAGGACGGCGGAGCCCGGAACAGATGCCTGCCATGTTTAGTTTTCTCAAACGAGGACTGTGTCACTCCACCGTGCCAGGTTGTTGAAAGACTGAATGAATGTAAAATGGATGTTAATTGATGAACAAAGCAGAAGGTCCCCCTCGGCACTAGAGCCCAAGTGAGGGTCATGCCCGAGTCTGCTCTGGCGTTCCCCTTGGCCCTGAGTGGGAGCTGCAGGGCTCCCACTGCAGGGCGCAGCTGCTCGGGCCAGGGGGGTGGGCTCCGTCTGCGGGTCACACCCAGGGCCCCAGCACTTCACAGTGTGGGTACAGGAGGGACGTAGAAGGCCAGTGCCAGTGTGGAGCTGCTAATGATACGGGGTGTGTGTGCATGCTTCTGTGTGAGCGCACCCTCGGGACAGCCTGGGCGAGCGCGGGGCGCGGGTTGAGAGCCCCCTCCAGTCTGTGCTTGGTCAGGCGCGTTCTGGCCTGGCCCTGCTCCTCGCAGTGCACAGGGGTGCACCTCAGCAGACCAGTCCTGGGACCCTGCTTCTCGCTGCTCTGTCGCCTGCCTCGCTGCACTTTGTGGAAGTGAAATCCTCTGTTTCCTGCAGGGCGTCCCCAAGCCCAGAGCCTGGGGTCCTGGTGGACCTCTGTAGGGAGCCAGGCCGTGGCTCACCCTGAAACCCGATGTGACATGGTGTCTGATTAGACCTCCACGTTAATGCAGTTACATGTACAAAGCAGCGTGTGTAACATAAATTGCGCTCCGAGAAACCCACGCCTGGTGGAGGTCGGGATGTGTCGCCCAAAGCTCCCGTCCGCTCCTGCCCCCTCCCTGCCCCTCCTGCTGGGAGAGAGTGCTGCCCTACAGGGTCCAGCGCTGTGTGGCTTTCGAGCATTTTCTCGAGGCAGACAGGCAGTGCGGTCAGTGGGGCGCAGGCCTGGCTTGCTGGGGGCCCCAACACCAAAACGGAATGTTTTGTGTTTGCTTAAGCAGTGTGGCAGTTTAGTTTTCATGCTTTTGAGCTTTGTATTTTTTCTCTGTATGTTCTTTGCTTTTCGCTTTTTCTGTAGTTGACAGATCCATGAGTTGGGCGTCACTCGGTAGCTTTGTGGTGTGAGCAGCCAGCAGCCTCTTCGGGTCGTCCCCACTGACGGGTCCTGCTTGTCCCCTCGTCTCCCCCTTCCCCAGCCCAGCCCCACCCCTGGGTAGGTGTATCTAGGACTTTGCTGTCACAGGGAACATCTGCTTCGCTACCTGTCTGTCTCTGGG